AGCGGGGAAGCGGGCGCCTTCAGGGGACGGGCCAGCGGGCACGCCGTCAAGCGGGCCGCCGCCTCGGCCACTCCTGGGCGGGCGCACGCAGTGGACCCCGGAGTCGAGCGGTGGAACTGCCTGACCATCCTCATCATCCGAGCCCAGGCGCTGGTCAGGAACGACACCGACCCTCCCCAGTTACGGCGAATGTTGGACGACGTCATCGAGTACAGCGACTGGATCGGCGACCTGGGCCACCGCCAGACCTACTTCGGCAACTCCCTCTTATTGGAGATCAACGCGTGTCTCGCGGCCAAGAAGGCCACCCACCGCTCCATCGAGAGGAGGGCGAGCGGGAGCGGGGGTCGGAGGAAGCGCAGCCGTGCGCATGCACCTTCCCTGCCCTGTCAGAGCGGTGCTCCTGTCGCCCTTTGGGTAAATCCATGGGCAGCGCCACGAGGGGCCTCATCAAGTGGGCCCAGGAGTCATGGCAGAAGAATGCGGGGCTGCTGCACAGGCATGCCCGCGAACCAAAGCCAAACCAGACGGATGTCCTCATCGGCGACACCGCTGTGGCCGACCCCACCGCCACCATGGCCGCCAAGAGCCGCACTTGGGAGAAGGTGTGGGCCGACCCTGAGTTCGACCAGGAGGCGATCATCGGGGCCTTGCAGGAGCTCCTGCGCGTGGCCAGCGAGTCCCCCCTGGAGCCAAGCACTGTTGACCTGCTGAACAGCGCCCTGGCGCGGACCTCGGCCAGCAAGACCAAGGGCATCGACAACCTGGCAGCGACGGACATCCAGAGGCTCCCGACCAAGGCCAGAGGGGACGTGGTCGACCTCCTCAATATGGTGGAGGCCAAGGGGATGTGATCGTGGCAGCTCACCACCACTATTGGAGCTGCAGTGCCGAAGGCCTCGGGAGGCGACCGCGCGCTGGGCATGTTCGCCACGGTCACCGAGACGTGGTCGAAGGCCAGGTCCACCGCCGCCGACCGATGGGCGGAGGCCGAACATTACTGGTGGGACACCGCCATCAAGGACTCGTCGGCTTTGGAGGCCGCCATCGTGCGCTCCATGATGGACGAGACGGCCCTCGCCGTGGGCTTCTGCGCGGCCACCCGCCTCCTGGGCACCGCAAAGTTCTACGACAGTATAGGCTTCGACCGACTCCTTGATGTCGACATCTCCCAAGGCTTCCCCGCCATAGCGCTGGCCCTCGAGACCCAGCTCTTCATGGCCCCGAGGAGGCCTAGGAGGCACAGACAGAACAAGTGGCTCGGGCCCCTCCTCATCGACCCTGGCAAACCAGTGGCTGCGGGCTCTCCGCGCGGCAACAAGTGTGCGAGGCTCTTCCCGGGGCCCATCATTGCAGGCGTCCACCGTCAGTGGGAGCACGCGCAGCCGTGGGGGCTCGCGGGCGACATCGCTGCCAGGGCCGATGGCGCGCAGGGCATTGCGCGGCCCGCCATCCTCGGCGCAGCGGTTGCGCTCAAGGAGGGCCTCAACTCGCAGAACTTGACGGTGTCGGGCAGGGCGGCCCTTATGTCCAGTCATCCTGCATTGGGCCGAGAGCTCAGCAGAGCCCTGCAGCGAAGGGGCATCCCGTGCCAGGTCGCCGTTGTCGACGTCGGCGTCGACGCGGCAGCTGAAAGGAGCGCGAGACGGAGGCCAGGACGAAGGCGGCGCATTCCATGTTCAGGAGGATCGCCAGGATGCGGATGCAGGTCCGCCTCGGCAAGGTGACGAAGGCCCCATCGCCGCATTGCTTTGGCCCGGCCGAAGATCGTGGCCAAGCTGGCGAAGGCGGGGGCCAGTGGCCTCTGGAGGGCTGTTTGCGGGCCCGCGGCGGCCATCGTCGCCCTCCTCCTGGACGCGGGCCGGGGCCCCAAGATCGCCGCCTACCGGGTCGCCGACGCGGGCAGCGGCTGGAAGCTCTCCGAGGGCGTCGACGCGGATGCGGGCGCGTCGGCGGTGGAGGCGGAGCCAATCCTGGCGGTCAAGTAGCAGCTTTGGTCCATGGGCAACAGGCATCACCGTGGGGCCGACCTCTGCCACGGCTCTGACACGCGCGGGGTTCTCCGCGAGCAGCGCCGCTCCATGGCCAAGGGCATGGTGGATTTTTCCAGCCAGAACCTCATCTGCATCGCGGGGGGCCAGTGGCCTCGGGTCCGTCAGGCCGAAGCAGTGTGCCAGGCCAGTCGGTTCTGCCAGAGGTGCGGCGCTGCGGACGAGGAAGACTACCAATGCATCTGGGCGGGCCTCTCCGACAACGCATGACATGGCGACCGCGTCGAGACCGGGCACCTGTGCGAGCAGGCGAGGGCACAACATGAGATGTCGCCCTCGCCGCGGCGCTGCGGGGGCTCCTCAGGGAGGCGGGCCCCGCGCCGACGTTCAACGTGGACGAGGCCGACTGGGGCGTCAAGATCGGCCTCGACGTCGAGGGCTGCCGCGACGAAGGCGGGGTTCTCCACCTCTTCGGGGGCGGCAGCGGCGGTGGGCGTACCGACGATGCGCGCAGCAGACGTTGCGGCGCGGCCTTCTGCGCCCTCCGCCGCCTCTCTGGCGTCCGGCAGTTTTCGGGCGGAGGTCTCGGCGGAGTCGTTGCCCGCCAGACCGTGCCCGGGGCGGAGCTCGCCGCCTGGGCCCTCGCGCTCGATGGCTCAGCCACAAGAGTATGTTTCTACACAGATTAATCGTGGCTTGTTCCTAGGCCAGAATGCGGGCAGATTTCTGCGCGCCAGAGGTTCCAACGGGGATCTTTGGGCTAGAACCCGGAGAGATTTGATCTCGACGGGCTCTCTCCCTGCTGGAGGCTCTGTAGGCGAGGGCCCTTTGGCCCCCTGGAGGTCCATGTGGTCTGGGTCCCGCCCAGCATGGACGAGGGCCCGAGCTCCCTTGGAACCCCAGGGTTCCTTTTCAGAGCCAGGTCTTGGCGTTTGGTCGGGAGGGCCTCAGGACGGACGTTGTTGACGCGACTGCGGCACAGGTGCGCCAAATGGGCTCGGAAGGCCCTTGCTGACACTCTGTCCGTGGATGCCCGGGAGGCCCGGAGGCCGCCGAGGGCACGGGCCGCTCTTGGAAGCCAGCCTGCGCGCCTGGACCCCCGGCCAGGGTGGCAGCTGGCTCCGGCGGCGTCCTGGTCCCAGGGCCCCGAGTTGAGGACGCGGCCCGTGGCCCGTGCACTCCCGCCGCGCCAGCCCCAAACGTCGCTGGAGGCGTCGGCGTCAGCACTTTGTCGGACCACGGCTGGCGAGTCGCAGAGTGCATGCGGAAGGGGAGGTCCGTCCTTCCCGGTCGTCGCAGGCCTGGGCCGGGCGCGGCCTGTGTTTCTGCAGCATGTGTGGGAGCATGGCCACGTCAAACGTAGTGAGGTTGGATGAGCAGTGCGGTGGCCAGCCCACACGCAAGGGTAAGCCATACCTTGCGATAGTCAAAAAGGGCCAATGTCCGAGCCATAGCGGGCCGCCCAAAGCGGCCAAGCACGCTCTGTGTGTCATCCAGGCCTTGGTAGGCTTCCACCCTGGCGGTGACTCCTACGTAAGGGGGACCTGCAAAGGCTGGGGTTGTGCTCTCTCCGAGGCGGGGCTCCACGGAGGGTCCCACTCGGAGCTCCTAGGGCCCCCGCGGGACACTGCGTCCCCTTCACCATGGTCCCTGGTCCTCCTCCCCCTCCCCCTCCTTTTCCTCCTCCTCCTCCTCCTCCTCCTCCTCCTCCGCCTCCTCCTCCTCGTCCTCGTCCATCTCCTCCTCCTCCTCCTCCTCCTCCTCCTCCTCCTCCTCCTCCTCCTCCTCCTCCTCCTCCTCCCCCTCCTCCTTTTGCTCACTGCGCTCGATGGCCCCTCCCGTGCGCGCACATGCGGTTGGCCATGGTGTTCGTTCCCCTCTTTTGGACCCCCCCTATCATCGAGGATAGGAGAGCCCCCAGCCTTAGTAGCACAATGAAGGCGTGACCTCGCTCAGGTCCCCGTCTTTGCATTAGGGATCATCATTATGGGCGGTTTGGTCTGATACATTTACACAAAAGACCCCTTATCCTCAATGTTGTTGGCCCTCCTAACTTAGGTCCCCTCCCAAAGGGTTTGGGGTCCTTCTATTGCTGACCATTCGAGGCCGGAAAATAGAGATCCCAAGGCGGCGGGGAGGCGTGCGGCCGGGGGAGTCTGAGCCCCCCCATCGCACGCCCCCCGTTGGGCGTTCACGCGCTCTTGAGGGGCAAGGTGCGGGGGAGGAGGGCGCGAGGTCATTTTGCGATGGGAGGCGGGGGCGCGAGGTAAAATGCGCCGCGCGGCCCCAGCCCTCCCGAGGTCTGGGCCAGGTGTAGTTCCCCCGGAGGCTCGCTGAGGCTTGGAAGGCTTGAGCCGCCAGGGTGCCACGCAGGCCTGCCGCCTCGGGGGCCTTGTCCGGGGATCTCGGGGCAGCAGCGCAGTGCTGCGCTCAACGTCGGGGATGAAAGTGGGAGGGCAGGAGGGGGAGGAGGAGGAGGAGGAGGAGGAGGAGGAGGAGGAGGAGGAGGAGGAGGAGGAGGAGGAGGAGGAGGAGGAGGAAGAGGAGAAGAGGGCAGGAGGGGGGGGGGGGCGGATCGAAGCGTCGGCGCGCCAGCCGGCGCGACTCGCCCGTCTTCGCCGCGCCCTCGCGAGGAGGTCCTGCGAAGCGCTACCGCCACCGTGGCCTTCGCGCCAATGCTCGCCGTCCTCTTCATTGCCGCCAGCATCCGCGCGATGCAGGTCTGCGCGGTGGCAAGAGGTACGGGAATGGGGCCCCGAGGGGTTTCCGAAAGTCTCCGGACGATTTGAGGGGGCCTTCTCCGTGGCGTTTCGCAGTGTCAGGAGGAGGGAAGGGGCCAAGGGCTTCAGGGCCGCAGGGGAAGGGCCCGAACGGTTCCTTACAGGGGCCCCCTTGGGCCTCCACTGTAGCGGTCGACGTGTCCCTTGTGGAGTTTGTTTGGGGCACCTCCTCCTCGGGGCCCCATCTCTCGGGGCCCCGCATCCCGGCTCCTGCCGAGGTCGGCGCGGAGCCCAGCGGCGGGCGCCTGCCCGCGTGGGTGCAGGCTCCTGGGGCGGGGTCGGCGCCGGCGGGGTGCCGCTCTCGGCGAGGGGCGGATCAACAATACGCTGAAGTCGGGCGTGTCCCTCTACTGGGGGAATGTTCAAAAATAGTACAGAAATAGTCTTGGAACGATTGTCCTTCTATAGCACTCTTTGACATTTTAAAAGTTTTGCGTCCAGAATCCGCCTGTGCGAGGGCACGCCCGACCGAACAGTACGCCGGGGCGGTCGTTCAGGAATGGGCCCAGGAGGCTTCAGGCCCTGGAGGGATTCCTGATCCGATGCGGGCGGCCGTGCTGTCCGTGGCCAGGCCCGAAGCGGCGTTCCATCGGCTTCCAGGCCCTGGCTTCCTTGTCCGCCGGTTCCTTATCCGGTGCCCTGATCGGGAAATGCTCGCACGACAAAAAATCGGCATCAGCATAATTTCTCGGAGCTCCGTGCGGATTTCTTGGATCGGCGCTCAGGCACCCCTGGCGCTGCTTCCGGCGCCGCCGCTTGCGCGCTCCGCGCGCAAGGGATGGGGGAATCTGATCCAAGGGACCCATGTGGACCTCAGAGAAAGTGTGTGTATGTGTCCCCCATATCCTCAGGATGGGGTTCTTGGTATCCCCCATATCCTAAGGATGGGATTCTCTTTACTTCTCAGACCACGCCGAGGCCATCCACTCACCCACCTCCTCACCTTCTCCTCCCCTCACTCAGATTCGCGATGATGATGATGATGATGATGATGATGATGATGATGATGATGATGATGATGATGATGATGATGATGATGATGATGATGATGAAAATGAAAATGATGATGATGCTGATGATGATGATGATGCTGGTGATGATGATGGTGATGACGATGCTGATGATGGTGATGATGATGTGGATGATGATGACAAGTCGGATGATGATGATGATGATGATGATGATGATGATGATGACGATGCTGATGTTGCTGATGATGATGATGTTGATTATGATGATGATGATGATGATGATGATGATGATGATGATGATAATGATGTGGGTAATGGTGATCCTGATGACGATGATGCTGATGTTGGTGATGATGATGATGATGAAACTGATGATGATGATGATGAAGACGCTGATACTGGTGATGATGATGAGGATGTGGATGATGATGCTGATGAGCATGATGGTGGTCTTGTTGATACTTGTGACAACACTGGTGATGTCAATGATGATGGTGACGGTGATGATGGTGAATTGTCATGATTATGATATTCATGATGATGCTGACAATGATGATGCTGGTGATGCTGTTGATTATGATTATTGTGATGATGCCGATGATGATGATGATGATGATGATGATGATGATGCTCATGATGATTATGATGATGTTGATGATGATGACACCAACGATGTTGCTGAGTACGATGATGATGCTGATGATCGTGATGATGAAACTGATGTTGCTGCTGCTGATGATGATGATGATAATGATGATGCTGATGACGATTCTGGTGGTGGTGACGATGCTGATGCTGATGGTGCTCTGGTGATGATGACGATGATGCTGCTGATGATGATGCTGATTAGGATGATGATGATGATGATGATGATGATGATGATGATGATGATGATGTTGTTGTTGTTGTTGGTGTTGTTGGTGATGATGATGATGATGATGATGATGGCGGAGCAGATTTGGAGGATGTCTCGAGTGAGGCTCTGGTTCTCGCACATCCAAGGGGGGGTGCAGGGGATCTTGCCAGGGCCCGTTCGCCCCCAGATTGCGTGGATGTCTCGAGCGGTTTGCCGGTTTGCAGGCCCAACATCCTTCGCCTTCGTGGCTGCATAGGCAGCCCCACCGAAGGCCCGAGTGGCAGGGTCTGTATGGCGCACCCGCACCCGGCTAGGCACACCCCTCACACGCACCGTGGCCCCACAGGAGTTCCACCGAAGGCCCGACAGGGTCCGCATGGCGCATCCGCATCCGGTTCGGCTCACCCCTCACACATTTCCTGGCCCCATGGGGAGCTGTTCCGCTGCCCAAGGGTCAGAGTCCGCATGGCGCACCCGCCCCACGTCGGCACACTTCTCACTCGTCCCCCCCCTGGTTGGTTTCCCTTGCCTCGCGGTACCCGCAGCCTCGTATGTCCGGGCCCTTCGCCAGGATAGTTCCTCAAAGTACGCCGTCGGCCCAAGTCTTTCAAGCGGGGCCAGAGCAAATGGGGTCCGAGGATCGCGCCGCATCGCGGATGCATCGGCGATGCGGTGCGATGCCCCAGCTCCTGCCGGCGTGGGTGCAGGCTCGGCAGTGTCACTTTCCGGCGGGTACCTCGGCTTCGCTCGGGGGCGTCCGACATCGGGTGAGGACTAGTGCCTGGGTGGACACCACGGCCGGGGCCACAAATATCTCTCAGATGTTGTCGCCCCCTCTTCTTCTTCTTCTTCTTCTCCTTCTTCTTCTTGTTCTTAGTATTATTATTATTCTTCCTCTCCTCTTCTCTCAAGACTTCCCCTGGCCCTCCTTGTGCGCGCAAGTGCCTCTGGCCAGCGATGCGCTGTAACCCCATTCCTCCTGCCCCCCCCTCCCCGGCAGGCCCAACTCGCCATGAGGAAAGGGGTACAGTGGAGGCCCATGCTAAGAAGCACCCTGCTTGCCTCCAGGGTGCCCTGGGTTTCTTGGGAGTCGATGGTTTTGCCATGGAATACGTGGCGCTCCCACGCCAAACATCCATGGACGTCCTGGGGTCTCAGGGCTGGCTTTCTTGTGGGCTGGCCTCCACTGGAAGGACACATGGGGGCAATTGCAAGATTCAGGCTCCCGAAACATTCATAATTACCCAGGATGACAAGTTCCTGGTGAAACGCCCCCCGGGTCAGCCTCCTCGTTGAAGGAGGTTGCCCTGTGGTCGTGCGGCTCTCCTCCTATTGTTCTTCAATTCGAGCTCGCATCTCCCTCCGCTGCTGGCTCGCCTCCTTGGTTGTACCAAGGATTTGGAGGCGCTGACGTGGATGTCAACAATAATCAAGTCCAGGCGTGAAGGGGTTGGTTCATGGAGGATGACGATTAATAAATGACCGGGGGTCGTGTTCACGCGGCTGCGCCCGGGATGACGATTAGAAAAAACCGGCCGCGGGCTAGATTTTTTTGTTTTTCAAATCGTTTTCCTCCAGTCTGGAAATTATGCAGAAATAACAGAAAGCTATGTTTTTAATCGTTCGCTCCTATTTTTTTATTAATCGTCATCCCGCATTACCTCTGCCTCCATTTTCCCTCGCCGTGGAAAGGAACGGCGGGGCGGCCCCATTGTGTTCCGCGGCCTTGGGGCCCTTCTCGGGGTCCAGGGCCGTCAAGGAACGCTTCGGGGCGAAGGTCTTGACCCTGGGAAGGTGTTCGGGCCTCTTGACGTCCACGCTGCGAAGGGATCACGGGGTCGGAGCTCGGGGTGCGCGCGAGAGCGACCCTTCGCAGGCGCAGCGTACGGTTCGGGCCCGCAGGCCCCCCCAGCTGATTACGCATACGAGTGGTCCTGCGTTGCGTTTCATCTTCGGGGGCCTTGTAAGTCCACAAAGACTTCTCTTGCATCCGCCGCGAGATCGACGTACAGTCGACGCGGAGTCGACGCGGAGTCGTGGAGTCGAAGCGAATGGCGACGCGTATGGCAGCGCGGTGGGAGAGCGAAGGCCTCACGAAACTGCAGCGCGATCTTCGCCAGGGTGATTTGTGGCGCGGCCCGCAGATGGCCCCTTCAGCACCGACTGGCTTGCGCGTGGGGCTCTGACCCTCCCAGCGGCCCGCCGAAGCAGCACACCAAAAGCCACCCCTGCCAAGGATCTCGCCTTGGCGCGCAGCCGGGGCAGGAAGTACAGTCGGACTCGATTGGAGAGGGCGCGCGAGAGGGCACAAGACCCTTCCGAGGGCCACGCTGCCACAGAAATGCAGGAGGCATGGGTCGCGAGACACAAGACACGAGGGTACCCTTGATCTTGCCGGGTCGACCTACTAAATCGGGCCGCCTGTATGCGCCACGCCGCTGGGCCTTCTGACGGGGGTTTGGGGATGGGGATGGCTCTGCGGTCGTCGTGGAGCGATGTTCGGGAACAGGTCACAACGACATCCTGTGTGATCGCGTCTCGTCCTGATTCGGGGGCGAGGGGGGGAGTCATTTCCAGTGGCGGGCCAGCGCCCTTTAGAGGGACAGTCGGGAACCGGGAGGGGTCGGGGGGAGGATGGGTGGCGCCTGCTATGGTCGCACAGGGCCGGGGGGGTGGGGGGTGGAAGTTGCCCGTTCCCCACACCTGGGGGGCCCTTCCCGTCACATTCTCTCAGCGCGCTCCTCATATCCCCTGTCCTCCCCGTCCCTCGTTTTTCCTCCTCTCCCCTCAATCTCAATCCTCCCACCTCCCCTCAGTCCCCCTCCTCCCTCAACATTCTCCCGACTCATCCTCATCCTCTACTCCACTTCTCTCGCGTCGCTCCCTCCCCGTCTCTCCCCCCTCCGCACCCCTCCCCCCCGCCATCCCCGACGACCCTCCTCCCTCCGCCCCCCCCCCCGCTATCTCTACAATTATTCAATATGAATACTACTCTCCCTCTTCCCCTGATGACGGTTTGAAAATATTAGCCCCCCCCGCGTATTGTTTTTTACAAAGGATTCCCCGGAGTTTGGTTGTCACATGCATTTGTTTCCAAAATGCTGCTCTCGCTGAGGCGCTGGCCTCATTTTCGGGCCCCGCTCGTTCCGAATCGTGCTCCCGCTGCAGCGCTGGCCTCATTTCCGTGCTTCCGCTCGTTCCGAATCGTGCTCCCGCTGCAGCGCTGGCCTCATTTCCGCGCTTCCGCTCGTTCGACTCGTGCTCCCGCTGCAGCGCTGGCGTCATTTCCCGTGCCATGCCACGGCATGCAATGCAATGCTAGGTTGATACTACGCTTTGCGGTGCTCTTCTACGCCATGCCATGCCGTGCTCTACAATGCATCGCGTACCCTTTCGGGATCATTGCCCTGCTCGACATCCGACTGTGCGAGTAGAGAGGGGATCTACGCCATGATAAGGGATGGGCGGGAGGGGTAGGATGTCAGATATGACGCGAGCGCACCTAGCTTGCCCCTCCCCCCTCCCCTCCCCTCCTCTCCTCCCTCCCCCCCCCCCCCCTCCCGCCTCTCTCTTCCCCCCTTCCCCCCTTCCCCCTACCCCCCCCCTCCTGGCCCCCGCTCGTCCCCCAGACTCGCGCCTCTCCCTGCGGGCCCGCTGCCCCTGCCCCCCCCCCCCCCCTTTCCCCCCCCCCCTCTGCCGGGGCGCCTGCGGGGCCCCCCCGCTCCCCGGCAGGCGTGCTTCTACGCCTGCACCGTGAGCGTCTTCCTGCAGACGGCCCCCCCCTCGGGCAGGGCGGGGGGGCGCGGCGGGGCCAGACGGGGTCCCTCGCGGGGGGGGGGGGGGGGCGCTCGGATCGGGGGGGCGTGAGTTTCGAGAACGCCGAAGCTCGGAGTCGCCAGCGGGGCAGGGGGGCGCAGTGGGGCCAGAAGGGGTCCCTCGCGGGGGGGGGGCTCGGATCGGGGAAGGGTAAAACTCGAGTGCGCCGAAGCTCGGGTCTGCCGACGCTTCTTGGCCGAGCGCGTTCTGGAGATTCAGACGGCCCAGTTCTCGCCGGATGCCTGCAGCGGGAGCTCGCGCGTCAGACTTCATATTGGGCCTCGTCATTCTGCCGATGGCCCCGTCACGTCACCCCGGGAAAAGGAGGAGGAGGAGGAGGAGGAGGAGGAGGAGGAGGAGGAGGGGAGGAGGAGGAGGAGGGAGGAGGAGGGAGGAGAGGGAGGAGGGAGGGAGGGAGGGAGGGAGGGAGGGAGGAGGGAGGGATGGGAGGGAGGGAGGGAAGGGAGGAGGGAGGGAGGGAAGGGAGGAGGAGGAGGAGGAGAGGAGGAGGAGGAGGAGGAGGAGGAGGAGGAGGGAGGAGGAGGAGGAGGAGGAGGAGGAGGAGGAGGAGGTGGAGGAGGATTCTGACGAGCCCCCCGAGCCCGGGTCCTGCGCCTCCCCGATCGGGCGCGCCCGGTGCCCCGCCGGCGTCGCGTCACCCCGTCCGGCGGCGCCGTGCCGCGCTGTGCTGGCCGCTCGGAGGGCGGGGCCCCGAGGGCGGGAGCCTCAGGCAGTAAAAGGCTCAGCTGCAAGTCGGGCGTGTCCCCCTTACAGGGGGGATTTTCGACGAAAACAAAGGATACTCAGCAAGTGTTCTCAAATGGTTTAAAACATTTTCGAAGAATAGTCCCCGGACTGTTTTTGATTATTTTTGGGATATTCTTCCTGTAGAGGGACGGGCCCGACTTGAGCTCAGCTCGGGATCCACCTCCTGCCCTCGGAGCCCCCTCGCTCGGGTGCCCTATCTTTCGAAGAAGAAATAAAACACTTAAACATAATATTTTGGCGCTCCGCGCGAATTTCTTGGATCCTCCCCTGGCGCGCTCCGCGCACCAGGGAGGGGGTGTCCAGCGCGAATCCAAGAAACCCGCGCGGAGCGCCAACAGTTTATGCTTATGTGTCTGGGGAAACAACAAGGTATTACTCCCCGGACCTCTCCCGCGGCGCGTTCTGACCAGGACTTCAGGGCGAATCCGGCTGTTGCGACGAGGGCCGCCCAGGAGGCCCAAAAAGGGCAAACCGGGCGAGGGGGTAGAGGTACTCCAAATCCCTTATTCATCGACCCCCCTTTAAAAAACCGGACCCCCTCCAAATGCGCCCTAATATTCCGAACCCCCCTCTTCGACGGGGCGCCTTAACAAACCGGACCCCCAAGTCCTAATCCAAAGGAAGCGCCCTGATGAACCGGACCCCCCCCCAGTTACAAAAAAGGCGCCTTAAAAAATTGGACCCGGAGGACGATTAAGAAGGGATTTGGAGGAGGGGCACCTCTCTCGACTAGACGTAAGAGTGACCTTTCGCCGGAGTGACCTTTGGTGCGGGCACAGATGGGCCCCCAGATGGCTGAAAACGAAGCAGGAGCAGCGGCTTGCGGGCCCAGGTTCGGTCCCCCCTCGGTCCCCAAAATGCCGCTCGCCAAAGGTCCCTCTTACCCAGGGTCACTCTTGCGCGTAGCCGACTTTCCCTCCTCTCACCCATCGCTCGGGCGCCCCCTCTTTGCGCCGCCGATGGTGCCGCGGCCGCGAGCCCAGCGCTCGCGCTCAAGATGCGGAGCGCCCCTCGGTGGTCCCGGGGCGGGGGGCGACCCCGTGCGAGTTGTGCCCCCATCGACGGGCCGCGGCCGTTCGCGGGTCGGCCAGGAGGGGCAAAACACACAGACAGAATTCACCGTCGACTCCCAAGAAAATGCAGGAAAATATGGGAAGTGGGCGGGAAGACGAAAACCCCGAAAATATGGGAAACGATAGGGGAATCGTTCTTCGTGTCTATTTATTTGTGTGTGTGTGTCTGTGTGTGTGTGTGTGTGTGCGTGTGTGTGTGCGTGCGTGTGTGTGTGTGTGTGTGTGTGTGTGTGTGTGTGTGTGTGTGTGTGTCACAGGGCCCCTTCAGTCGGGCGGTCCCCGGCGCGGTCGAGGTCGTAGGCTTCAGAGGGTACGGCACGGGCTGGCCGCAGCTGGCCACGGTGGCTTCCCTTGTTGCATCGAGGGAGGCAAGGAGGAGGAGGAGGAGGAGGAGGAGGAGGAGGAGGAGGAGGAGGAGGCAAGGAGGCAAGGAGGAGGAGGAGGAGGATGAGGAGGGGGAGGAGGAGGAAGAGGAGGAGGAGGAGGAGGAGGAGGAGGAGGGGGAGCCAAGACCCCCTCGGGTCACGAACAAAAGCACGGCGGGAGTTGGTTGTTTCCTCTGGGATCCTTTGTTTTCCTCGCTGGGGGCCTCGAGGCAGCAAACAAAAAAACGGCGCAGGATGAGAAACTTGCCCCAGGGAATGGGTCGAGACGTTTGGTCATCGATCGGAAAAAAGAGCCCTTGACCTAAGAACACGATGATGACGTGGCCTCATTGAGGTCCACGTCTTCACATTAGGGATAATTATTATGTGCGGTTTGTTTTGGTACATCTGCAGAGAAAGACTCCCTATCCCTAATGTGTCTGGCCCTCCGAACTTAGGTCCCCTCCCAAAGGGTTAGGGGTCCTTTTTTGGTTTATCAGTTGGGGGTCGACGTTACGAACAATATCCTGACGTCGGCGGCCGCTGATTCGCGGGGAGGATTCACGAACTGACGGTGACTAAGATGGGCTGTGGCCAAGATGGACACCGACGTTTCCGGCGTTGATCTTACTTATCTTCACCGCTCTCGTTTTCTCTTCACCGTGATTTTGTTTTCAGTCGGGCGTGTCCCTCTACAGGAGGAATATTCAAAAATAGTCAGGAAATGGTCTGGGGACGATTTTTCGACTTTTTGTTCGTTATCTTTGAATAGTGTTTGATTAGTTTCTATTGTTTTTTATCTTTTAATCTGCCCGACCTAAGATTAGTTACTGTTTTCTTGCCGCGTGGCCCCCAATTCTGCCGGGGCGTCGAAATCCCAATCGCTCGGAGTCTGATCGATGGCCGGGCCCCCAGGAGGAGAGCCAAGCCCCAAGCAGCCCGCAGAGCCGGGGGGGGGGGGGGCATCGGGCGCGGCCAAGAGGGGGGTGATGATCAGGGGGGGGGGCGGGAGATCATGGCGTGGGCCATGATTTTTCCTTAGATTCCATGGCGCCTCTTCTTATTTCATGATGGCCCTGGCCTCCCCTTGGGCCGCGCACGTGCCTCCGGCCATGATTTGTGCCCCCCTCTTGGACGCCCCCCTCGTGGCCACCCCCGAGGGAGGAGGAGGGGGGTGGAGGGGAAGGGGAATGACGAGGATGAGCAAGGGGGCACGATGAGAAGGGGTAAATAGGACGAGCAGAACAACTGGGCTCTTCTCACAAATTTCCTGGCCGTTCCGTTTGCAGCTTTGCGTTTTGGGCTCTCGACAAGCAAGACAGGAAAATGCTTCTTGCGTTTTTTTGTTATGGCCGTCGCTGCGCATTCTATTTCGATATGCGTTTTTTGCTTTCTGGTCGAAGGTTGCTCCTTGTCTTCCCTGCTGTCTTCGCTGCCGCGTTTTCGTTTCTGCCGCCGCTCTCTCTCTCTCTCTGTCTCTCTCTCTCTCTCTCTCTCTCAGTCAGAGCTAAAAGCGTAAACCAACAAAACAAACGCTCTTACACTGGTCTAACACCGGCCCGAAACAGGCCGGGAAGCCCCCTGGTCCCAGGAGGGGCAATCGGCCATCGGGCCTGGAGGCCCGACGCCCCAGCCAGCAGCGATGACAAGAGAAGAGCAAAGGGAAGAATAGTACTGATGACAGAAATATAGGGAGGACTTGTCGGGTCGGGCGAAAGGGGGGGATTGGGAAAGGGGGGGTTACGAAATTTGCTGCATGCAGCTGATTTTGGCCTCGCCGAGGAGCCCATGCCTCGATACATAGCCGCCTCCGGCGCCGGGAGGCGCCGGGAAAATCAGCTACGTGAGCTGATTCTCAAACCCCCCTTTGCTGTCCCCCCCTTTCGCCCGACCCGAACTTGGCGCCAGGAGAAGGCACTGAGGACATCGTAGGCGTCAATGTTTAGCAATGCAACCAAGTGGTTTGAAAACGCTACGCGCACGTAGTTCAGATCGCACGAGCAAGTATCATGTTGTTTAACGTCTCTAGTTTTCCTGATGGGACCTAAAAGCTCCGAGAACATGATGTCTAACACGCCGAGTTTAAACATAACGGTAAACAACGCCTTGGGCATACATTGTAATTTCCAAGCAGAACGAGAAGTTGGAGAGGAATAGAAATGAGGAGGAGGGTGGGGGGAAGGATGAGGAGGAGAGTGTTTGGGCAAGCTACGTCCTACCCCTCCCTCGAATCTTCGCACCAGTGCGTAGAGCCCCTCTCTATTCGCATAGCCGGGTGTCGCAAAGGCATTGGTTCCGAAAGGGCAAGTGCCGCACGCCAGAGCATCACACAGCATGGCGTCAGAAAGCACGGCGCAGTGCAGCATTTCATGGCATGGGTCGACATTGCGTAGCCAACCACTGCGTATCATGGAATTGTACAGCAAGGCACTGCACCGCATAGCTCTGCATCACATAGCGTTGGTTTGCTTGCCGTGGCTTGGCACTGCACAGTATAGCATGGCATTGCATGGCGAGGCATTGTGTGCCACAGCATTCCAAAGCAAGGCCAGGTATCGCATAGCGGCATCGCAGAGCGGACATGACGCCAGCGATACAGCGTGAACACTTTTGAGAAGATCAAATCACGAAAATGAGGCGAGCGCCGAATCAGGAGTTTTGCGTCTAATGACCGGCAACGCGGGATGAGGATAACGCTGCAGCGGGAGCATCGTTGATAATAACCAACTGCACGGAAGTGAGATCAATGTTGCAGCGGGACAATATGTTGAAGGTCAGGGAACGCGGAAGCGAATGCTGCAGGATGAGCACTATTTGCACGCAGCGAAAACGCCTGATTGGGAAAACACAGGAGACACGTCAACTGGATAATCAGGTGTGCAAACAGGCTTCGAAGAATTGTTAGCAAACGTGGATCCGAAACAGTGTCCAATCTATGATATGCAATCTCTGTGGAGCAATATATGTGGTACCATCTACGTGGTGCAATTAGTTTCTGTTCGCAGTGGGTTGTCAACTGCACTGCCCGCGCAATCATCCCGCCCACCCGCCCGCAATTGGGTTTGCAAATCTCATGCGGCGGCGATTTTGATGAGTGCTTGGTGTTGACTGGTGCACACCTACGGCCGCGCTAGCCCGCGCATGTTCGCGCGCGCAGCGGCCAGCTAGTTTGGCGCGACCGACGTGGCCGCGGTGGCGGTGACCGCTGGGCACATCCCAGCGGGCACCTCATTGCGAGTCGGCGGCTTGGGCGGGCGTGGTAACATGGCAACGTCGACAACAGTAGACACGATGATGGTAGTAGCGGTGTTGGTAACGATCGTGGCAGCGGCGACGGCACGGCCAGTGACGACGCCGATGCTGATCACGCCGGCGACTACTACGGCGTCTTCGCGTCGGTGATCAAGATTTTGGACGGAGTTCGACGTGCGCGCGCGGCAGACGCGCGAGATTGGCCTGCATGGTATTGTTTGACATGGTTCGTGCCCCACCAGCACGCGCACAAGGGCGTTCGAATGATTTCGACATGCGGCGCGAGTGGCCCGCTTGGCAGAAAAATGAAAAGTTTGAAAGCAATTGTTTTTGTTTAAAAAGTATCGCGAGATCGCGAGCGCAGGCTTTTTTTGAAAACGAATGGTGCGAAACTTTTTTTGATATGGTTTCGGGACACTCGGTTTTGAAATTCTTGCAAAACCAATCGTTTTTGACGGATTCCAGCATGCGCGCGCGACGACGCGCGCGTGTGCACTGCATTACCTAACAGCGAAGACTGATAGGTTTCCAGTGGGGTCAGAAGAAAGCATCTTGACTCCCCAGGGGGGTCTGGGCGGATGCCGGGGGAATCTGGGGGATCCGGGGACTCCCCAGGACTCTGATAGATTCTTATAGTTTCCTATGTATTTCTACAGATCGTGTTCCCACAACACAAGTCCCAGGCCACATTTTGAATGCCCGGAGCCAACTGTAGGCCACTTCGTGTTCTTCGTCTTCCCAGAACACCATTCCCAGGCCACATTTTGAATGCCCGGAGCCAGCCGTAGGCCACTTCGTGTTCTTCGTGTTCCCAGAACACCATTCCCAGGCCACATTTTGAATGCCCGGAGCCACCTGTAGGCCACTTCGTGTTCTTCGTGTTCCCAGCACACAATTCCTGTACCATATTCTGATTGCCCGGAGCCAATTGTGGGCCACAGGCCACATCGTCATCTTCGTGTTCCCAGAACACCAGTCCTGCGCCATATTTCGAATGCCCGAGCTGAGGCAGGCTGAGGGCTGAGGCCGAGGCAGGCCGAGGCCGAGGCAGGCTGAGGCTGAGGCTGAGGCACGCCGAGGCAGGCTGAGGCTGAGGCTGAGGCAGGCTGAGGCCTAGGCAGGCTGAGGCTGAGGCTGACGCAGGCTGAGGCCGAGGCTGAGGCTGAGGCTGAGGCTGAGGTTGATGCAAGCCGAGGCTGAGGCTGAGAGGCTGACGCTGAGGCTGAGGCAGGCTGAGGCTGAGGCTGAGGCCGAGGCAGGCTGAGGCTGAGGCTGAGGCAAGCCGAATCAGGCTGAGGCTGAAGCTGAGGCAGGCTGAGGCTGAGGCTGTGGCTGAGGCTGAGGCAAGCTGCGGCTGAGGCAGGCTGAGGCTGAGGCTGATGCAAGCCCAGCCGGGCAGAGGCAGGCTGAGGCTGAGGCTGAGGCAGGCTGAGGCTGAGGACGAGGCAGGCTGAGGCTGAGGCCGAGGCAAGCCGAGGCAGGCTGAGGCTGAGGCTGAGGCTGATGCTGAGGCAGGCTGAGGCCGAGACAGGCTGAGGCTGAGGCTGAGGCAGGCTCAGGCTGAGGCAGGCTGAGGCTGAGGCCGAGGCAGGCTCAGGCCGAGACAGGCTGAGGCTGTGACTGAGGCTGAGGCTGAGGATGAGGCCGAGGCAGGCCGAAGCTGAGACAAGGTGAGGCTGAATGGGGGGGGGAAGGGGGGGAGGGGGGGGGAGGAGGGGAGGCTGAGGCAGGCTGAGGCCGAGGCAGGCTGAGGCCGAGGCAGGCTGAGGCTGAGGCTGAGGTAAGCCGAGGCTGAGGCTGAGGCTGAGGCTGAGGCTGAGGCTGAGGCTGAGGCAGGCTGCGGCTGAGGCAGGCTGAGGCTGAGGTTGACGCAGGCTGAGGCCGAGGCAGGCTGAGGCTGAGGCTGAGGTTGATGCAAGCCGAGGCTGAGGCTGAGGCCGAGGCAGGCTGAGGCTGAGGCTGAGGCAAGCCGAGGCAGGCTGAGGCTGAGGCTGAAACCGAGGCAGGCTGAGGCATCCGTAGGAATCCACAGGAATCCTTAGGAATCCATAGGAATCCTTAGGAATATGTAGGCATCCTTAGGAATCCGTAGGCATAGTTAAGCATCCTCAGGAATCCTCGGGAATCCTTAGGATTCCCTAGGAATCCTTAGGAATCCCGAGGAAACCCTAGGACTCAGGATTCCTAAGGAGTCCTTTGGATTCCTAAGGATGCCTAAGGATGCCTTAGGAATCCCTAGGAATCCTTAGGATTCCATTGGATCCTAAGGCCGTTGCCTCTGCGACTGTCATTGCGAATGCGACTGCGACTGCGAGAACAGCAGAATTCTACAACTGGATTCTCACCTGAATCTTAAGGGGAATGCTTCTAGATATGCTTATAGACATCGCTGTTCGGTTGCTTTGCCGGGATCATCTTTTTGTTGTAAAGGGTTCTCGCGACAGCAAGCGCGCAAGGCCGCGCCTGAAACGGTCTCAGAGCTTCCTGGAACACTCCGGAACGTCCACGGCGTCCGAGACGTCCTCCAGACTGGCGGGATCTCAGAGATCCCCGATGTACAGTGGAGGCCCATGGCAAGAAACACCCTGCTTGCCTCCAGGGTGCCCTGGGCTTCTTGGGTTTCGATGGTTTTGCGATGGAAAGCGTGAAGTTCCCACACCAAAAATCATTATAAGTCCTGGGGGTTCAGGGTTGGGTTTCTTGTAGAAGGTTTCTCGTGGACTAGCCTCCACTGTAGCCCTGTCCGATAATGTCCTTGTCCTGGCGTCGTCTTACGGGGAGGTCTGGGGACTCCCGGTCCGAGCGGCGTGCGTGGTGGAGGACAAGAGGGGGGACAGGAGGATGGGGATGAGAGGTAAGAGTGGAGCGATGGGGGCGGAAAGACACGTACCACGCGAAAGATGGAGCAGCTGGAGGGAGGGGGACCGAGGAGGAGGACAAGGAGGAGGAAGGGGAGAAGCTCGAAGAGGAGGCGGGATCAGGATAGTGGCGAGGAGGAGGAGGACGAGGAGGAAACACTCGAGCTGTGCCAAAGCACTATTCCTGAAACTTCAACGCCGCGAATCAACGTCACTCGTGACACTCGTGTGACCTGACGATCCCATTTCTGGGACGCCGGCACCGCGAATCAACGTGACTGTCGCGCCCTGACAATCCAAAGTCGTGCCCAAACACCACATCTGAAATGTCAACCATAATAATGTTTGAAATTGCTTTACATTGTTGAGACGAGTGTGCGCGGCGCTAAGACGAGAGCCACACGTTGAAAAGGAGCCGCCCCCCATCCGTGAAGTTCGTGCGAACTTTTAAAACGGAAGTGCGCGGCAGTAAAGCGAGAGCGAGCCTTGGGTTGGAAAGGAACCGCCCTCCACCCGTGAAACTCTTGGCAAACATTGAAGACGAAAGTGCGTGGCGCTACGGCGTGAGCCATATTTTGAAAAGAAGCCGCCCTCCATCCGTGAAGCCCGCTGCACACTTCTATGCCGAGTGTGCGCGGCGCCCAGGCTCACCACCCACCAAACCACCCCAACCCAACCCGAAGGCTCAGATTCACCCTCGATTTCTAGGGGGGGGGGGGGCCCGGGAACGTCGCAAAAACACGTATGGAGCCCATACCCCCCCCCAACCCGAAATTCGGGTCTTCGGGTTGGGTTGGGCTGGTCTGGTCGGTAGTCACAGGCGAGGGCCACGGTTCGAAAGCCCTCCGCCCTCCGCCCGTGGAACCGTCGCAGCGTTCGTGCGCCTCGGGACCAGAAGCGGTGAGGGCGTCTCCGGCGGACCGCCCGGCCCGCCCTGCCGACCCGTCTCGGGGGGGGTCGACAGGGAGGAGCTGCTCGTGAGGAAGGGGGATGGAGAGGAGGAGGAGGAGGAGGAGGAGGAGGGGAGGAGGAGGAGGAGGAGGAGGAGGAGGAGGGAGGAGGAGGAGGAGGAGGAGGAGGAGGAGGAGAGGAGGAGGAGGAGGAGCAGGATGAGGAGGAGTGGAGCCGGAGGAGGCAGGAGGAGGAGCAGCGGGAGGCAGAGGGGCCCGAGGCAGTCGGGGGGGCCTCCCGAGAGGCCTGCGTGGTGGCCATCTTCGTCATCTCGCCCGACGACGCAGAGCCCGCGGGCGAGGACCTGGGAGCCGCCCCGCCGCCCGGCGGGCCGAGGCGGCGGGCCGCGGCCAGGGCCGTTGAGTACCTCCGCTGGTTCCTCATGGCGGTGCTTCCTCCGCCTCCGCCGCCTCCGCCACCTCCGCCTCCCCCTCCTCCGTCTCTCCTTCGCTTCTCGTTCCCTTCTCCTCCTCCTGCTCCTTCTCCTCCTCCGTCTCTCCTTCTCTTCTCTCCTCCTCCTCCTCCTCCTCCTCCTCCTCCTCTTTCTCATCTCCTTCTCCGCTTCACCCCCTCCTCCTCCTCCTCCTCATTCTCCTTCTCCTCCTCCTCCTCCTCCTCCTGGGCGCTGGGCGCGGATGACTATGGAATCGCATCCGGCGCAGCCTCCATTGCTCCTCTCCTCCTCCCCTTCTCCTCTCTTTCTCCGCTGCGCCTCCTATAAAGCCTCCGCAGCCCTGTTGCGAGAAGGGGAGCTGCCAAGAACTCTATCCAAGCATGAAGGCCTAGCCGCCCTCCCGCACGTCACCCCCGTGCGCGCGTCAGTTTCCTTGACGGCCAAGCGCTGCGCAACCTGGGAGGGGGTGGAGGAGGAGGAAGACGGACCTGCGGTGCGCTGGGATCGGGAGATCAACACCTTCCGCAGGTTCCTTGTGGCACCTGCCGGGAGGCCGGTTTCTTGTTTCACTTCCCTATTGTAGGTCTCGCGGTTGGGGGGGCCTGGCATCGTCTCTCTAAGGGTTCGGTGTTGGCCTCGGTGGTGAATGTGGTTGGGGTGACGACGCCGACAACGAGGATCAGGACGAGGCACCCGGTGCCATGCCAGTCTTTCCACTCTCGGAATCAGTGTTAAACAGTCACGTCGCGAATATTACCAAGACCAGTTCTCTGGAAGGACTTCGGAACGAAGGCTGGGGAACATCTTCCAGGGCATATGTTGCGCCTCCTGCGCTGCGCCGCCACGTCTGCGGGTATTATCGTCACAACACTCGTTACGCCTCCTGCAAGTCATCTTCGCAGGCATGGGATCCTCTCGACTTCTGGGACCCACTGGAGCTCTTGGACACCTTGGGAACCTCAAGGGTCAACGAAGAACGTGTCCCTAGATTTCTGTAGGACAAGACGTCTCATCGTATTTACCTCTATCGGTGTCGAAGTTGGGGTGCGGCCCGGCATTCCGTCCCTGGCGGCGGCTTCCCCTTCGAGGTGCTCTACGTCTGCGTCGTCGCAGTCGCGGTCGGGGCCCTGCTCTTTCCCAGACCCGTGCCAGCATCCACCGAGCTGGACGGCGTCGTGGTCCTCGCCGTGCTCTACTTCGGGGTGCATCGGGAAGAGGGGCAAGCCATCACAAGAGGACCGTGTTCTGACTGTGCCGCGGCTCGTCCTGGAGATCCGTCGTCGCCAGAGCTGGATTCTCCCCGCAGTTCCTGCCAGAAAGCACTCCAGGAGGGGTCCTGGCATCAGCGGCATCGGTGCCTCGTCTTGCTCCCCCCTGGTGAGGGGCAAGCCGTAGCCTGAAGTCGGGCATGTCCCTCTAAAGGAGGAAAATTCGATGAAAAATAGTCTGGGGACGACTTTTCGATTATTTGGATTATTTTTAGTATGTTTTGCATTTTTCCTCCAAGATCCGCCTGTAGGGGGACACGCCCGACTTAACGGTAGCTTGGCCTTGTCAGGCACTGCTGCTCTTTCTTGCAGGCGGATCCTCGTCCGGAATCTCCTGCCCCCCCCGAGCAAAAAGACCTTTGCCGTTGAGAAGGTGAGGGGGACCTCAGGGCTATCTGGGCGCAACCCCAGATGGACGCCCCCCCATCGTTTAGGATGCAACCGCTGGGAGGCTGGATGTGGGAGGTTAGATTCAGAACCGGCGCAGGTACATCCCTTGTCGAAAACTGGCCTACTCCTGTTTAGCTCCGCTTCATCCGGCTTCATCCCGCTCAGTTCGGCTCAATCCCGCGCACTTTGGCCGAATCCCAGGCTTGATCGGGCCTAATTCGGCTCAGTGGCCCCCTCGTTCTGACGAAGACCTTCCAGGCGCTGCCTCCTAACATCGTGTATCCCCGATCGGTGATCCTCAGGACGCGTGCTTGCCTAATTCGGGTTTGTATCCCGATCAGCTCCGCCGATAGCGCGCAACCTGGCGCATCCGATGGCTGTGGTGGGTACACACGTTAACGCTAACACGCGTTCCCAGACCCCCGACGGGGGGCCCCCGACGTCATGATTTGTTCATAACGTCGGCCCCCAATGGTCTCCGCCCAGTCCCAGTACGGGCCTTTCATCCCGAGTCGTTTCTGACGGTCCAGGGGCCTGGTAGCGGGCCCCCAGAGGCTGGAAATATAAAAAACACCTCCCGTCGCGTTTTCTCATGACTCGAAGGGGTCTGGGTCTCAGGATCATCGACTTGAGCGGAGCCTCGCACATGTTGTCACCAGCCGGGGGCGACCGGCTGCGCGAGCCCGCTCGGGGGGGCCACTGCTCGTGGGTCCCCCGCCTGCCGAGAGGTGTGCCTGGCGCTGTGGGTGGTCAGCTGCGCCCGCCAGGCGCGCCCCCTCCTCCCCCCCCCTGCGAGGCTTCGCCGCAGTCGTCGAGGCCTCACAGATGTGGTCCGGGCAGATGGGTTCGAAGGGCCGCGCCGCACTGCCGATGCATCGGCGATGCGGCTCGATGTGGGGCCCGATGTTTGTTCACGCTGGAGGGGGCGATGCGCCGCCGACGTCGCCGATGCTTCGGCGATGCATTGGCGTTGGCGCGCGACCCTCCGACCCCATCTACTCGGACCCTATCTAGGAGGCTCTCCATCCAATCCCCCTGGCTAGGCGTCGCCGCATTCGACGGGGCCGTAGGCATGTCCACTATACTATGGTATGGTTGTCCACCACCTGGGGGCAAACGGCGCCCCAAACTGAGTGTATCCACATCTGTTTTTCAACACCTGTGCCCTGGAGCAGCGGCCAGAACATGATACGCTGTACGTTCTCCTGTGGGGCTTCTGCGAAGCCCCATGGGAAAGAAGCGAGCGTCGGGAACGCCGTGCATGCGGCAAGAGCAGTCGCAGCCGCCAGGCGGGAGCTGCAATGCGCCGCTTGTGATGAGATGTTCGTGTTGCAGGAGCACATCACCCGAACCCAACTAAAGGTTCATTTGTGCAACGGGAGATTGGGTGGTGTGAGAAGGGCTACTCGGACAGAGGTTTCATGGCGAGGTCGTGGGAGGCGTTAGGGTCTTCGGGCACATGTAGCCATAGGTTACCTCGGGGTGCCGTTCTGGAGCGCGGGGCTAATTTTGCTTGCACCGCTGGGCATGGGAAAATGAAACGCGCAAAGTGTAGCAACATGTGGTCGTGAAAGGGACTGTAATATGACGGTGTAAAAGCCCACGGGTGAGGCATTGCGGGCGTCTTGGTGGGCGTCTTGAAGCTTCGTCGGATTCCTTGGGTGCTTGCTAGCTGTTTCTTGGACGCCGTCGCGAGCATGGGATGCCTTGCAGTGTCTGGGCGCGTGGGAGGGGTGGCCGCCTCGCAGACGCTACCCCACGCATGGGGCTCAATTACCCTGCGCTTCTCGGGGGCGGAACACTGAAATATGTTGCGCGTCGCGCATGAAACGATATGCTCCCAGAGCGACGGCGCGGATAGTTGAGATAACCTTCTCAGCTTGGGGCTCGGACAATCAGGGAGAAGGAGGCCACTATTGACATAGATACGGCGGCGGCAAGAGGAAAGATGAACATGAGTGAGGGATCGAGAACAACGGGGCGGCTTGTCATGTTGTCTGGGCTCTGTGTGAGGCCCCCTCTTGCATCTGGGGGGGTGTCTGTGGGGACACATCGGGAGCTTTTGGGGGGATTCCAGTTGGGCATTTCTGAAAGGTCCTGGAGCCAGTGGTGGCATCTTCGGGGCCTGCTGGCGGCAAGGGTGACGGCCGCCGGGAGCTCTGCGTCAGGTTCCCCGGGGGGCTTTTGGGGGGCCCTTTGGAACGTTTTGGTGGCCTCTTGGGGGGCCAATTTGGGGGCCTTTCAGGCGATCGCAAACATGGATCAGGGGGGCGTGGATTAGCGGCGGGTCCCGTTTCCATGGGAAGTCGCGGATTTCCGCCGCCCATCGATGCGGCATGGATTTGGCGACCGCGCGCCAAACCCATGGATCGCTAATCCATGTTTGCGCGCACCCGACCTTTTGGAACTTTTTGGTGGCCTATTGGAGCCAATTGGGTTGTGGAAGACGATCAATGGAGAGGAACCATGTTGCCAAATACTTTCCAGATGTCTAAAACATGTGAAAACCGTGCTTTGAACATGTAAAAACATGTGCAAAACATGTTTATAACATTTTCCACGATAGGACTGTTGGGGTGTCCATTGTCGTGGCATCCACAAGGGTCTTGGGTGCCATCCTCTGGGCGAGGGCTCGCAGGGCCTCTGCGGCTTCTCTGCCTCTCGCTCTCCTGGGCCTCTCTCTCGAGCGCGTCTCGGGGCCCCACTTGGGCGTCTTGAGCGCCTCTTTTGGGCCTCCCCTCGGCCGTCCCCGGGCCGTTTCGACAGAGGAGTGGGAAGAATTGGAACACCAACTCGTGAGGTACGCATTATCCTGAGCAAGCCTCCGACGCGTGCTGCCTCTCATGCGGAGCCATGGCCTCGCCCGCCACGCCCTTAAGGGGCCCGGGCGCATGCCCGCACAGGTGATCCGATCCGATCCGATCCCTGGGCCGTTTCGAGGGTTTCTTGGGCCGTCTTGGGCAGTCTTCAGCGTCTTGAGGCCACTTGGTGCCACTTGGGCGTCTTGGGGCCACCTGGGCGTCTTGGGCGCCGTCTTAGGGCCACTTGGGCGTCTTGAGCGCCTCTTTGGACTCCCCTTGGTCTTCCCCAGGCCGTTTCCAGGTTTTTGTTGGGCCGTCTTGGGCCAGTCTGGGATGCCTTTCGGGCCGTCTTGATCGCACAGGCGCAGGAGAGCCAGCAACTAAATGGAACATAACCGTTTGCTGCGTCTTCCGGCCCTCTGGAGGGTCCTCTTGGCGTTTTCTTTCGGCGCCGTGGGCCGTCTTAAGACTATCCTGTGTGTTTTTGAGGCCTCTCTGGCGTATTGGAAGTCTTCTTGGACCGCCTTAAAAAGCATCGTGGGATCTCAGCGGACACGGAGGGTAGATTGTCAGGCTCCGAGATCTCCCCCGCCTCCCCCTTCCCGCCCCTTCAAAAACGATGTTGGATTCCAGGGGCGGGGGGAGCGGTGACATCCAATCATCTCACACGCCTTCTCCCCCCCAGCAAGCGGGGGACGGCGGATTTTAAGTGGATGTGGCATCCAGAGCTACGTTTTGACGTGTCAGCGCTGTTTTGAAAACGTCCTCGGAACATCACGCGGGGACGCCTGGCATTCAGGAGGCGCCTGGAGATGTTGGAACTCTTGTTGGACATTGTGCGCTCTTCTCACAGCGCGAAGACAGCGTAGCTCACAAGACAAATCGGCCTCGGGAGCGCGAGCCTGGCGCCATTTGACAAAATAAGTTTGGTCCTCGGGAGATTCTGGATTCGGCAGCTTACACTGAGCCTCTAGGGCACTCAACCACGCGCTAGCGCGTGCGGCTCGTACTCAGTGTTCCGTTCTGTTCCGTTCCAGACAATCAGGGAAGTCGGGCAACGCGACTCGGGCGAGATAATCGAGTGCTTTTCGGTTCCCCCCTCGCGCGAACAGTGACAGTGTACGGACTGTTGCAGACTGCAGGAACTCTTAAGACTGGGGGCCGAAAGCTGGCAGTGTCGCAGGAAGGAGGACACCTCAGCCGTGCAGCCTCGTGGCTCCACAAGAGGGCCAGAGTTAAATTTGGCGCGTCTCTCTACAGGAGGAGTATCCAAAAATAGTAGAAAGTAACCAGGGGACTTTTGTTGCATATTTTTTGACAGTTTTGGGCATTTGAAGATTTGCTGCATATCTTAATTTCTCGCCCAGAATCCCCCCTGCAGGACTTATTGCAGCGCCGCGCGGGTTTCTCGGATCGGCGCCTAGGTCCCCTTTGCGGGGCCTGTGGCACCGGCCTTGGCGCGCGCCGCGCGCTAGGGAGGAGGGCCCAGCACCAATCCAAGGAGCCCGGCAGAGCTGCGAGAGCGTTTTTTCCCTACCTAGGTTCTGCCTAGAAGGGTTCTTACTCGCTTGGCTTAAAGGGGCCGGGCAGTGCAAACAGCCCCGGGCGGTTCCCCCAGTCCCCTGGGAGCCAAGCAAAAGCAACAGCGAAGGCAAAAGCAAACGCGCGGTTCCCCTAGTTGCGCTCCCTGGGTGCCAAGCAAAAGCAAAAGCAAAGGCAAAAGTGAAGGCAAAAGCGAAGGCAAAGCAAAAGCATAGCATAGCATAGGATAGCGTAGCATAGCATAGCATAGCATAGCATAGCGCAGCATAGCATAGCGCAGCATAGCATGGCATATCATAGCCTAGCCTAGCCTAGCCTAGTCTAGCCCAGCATAGCATTGCGCAGCATAGCATATCATAGCAGAGCATAGCAGAGCATAGCATAGCATATAATGGCATAGCGCAGCACAGCATCCACTGTTGCTGCTGCTACATATATACTTAAATGTGTGTGTGTGCGCACGTATGTTCCATGCATGTTGTCCGTCTGTGGGCCATCATGAGCCCTTAGTGGGGCAGCTTGAGCCCTTAGGATTCACGAAGGTTTCGCACATAGCACCGGCCGGGAGACATGAAACCCGACGTATTATCGCATGTCCTAAATGTCTTTCTATATACGCAAATATATGTGTGTATATATATACATACCACCCATGTGGAATGTTGCATGTGTGTGTGCGTGTGTGTGTGTGTGCATGTATTTGTTCAGCACCGCGTCGTAATGCCTTTTCATCCTCGTTGCCGTTCAGCTTCACTTCCCGGTGAGCGAATTCAAAAACACACAAGTCGTGCGGTGTAGGCCAGATCCAGAGCATTCTCAAGCACACCCGGTGAGCGAATGCAAAAACATGCGTGTGTGTGTGTCTGTGCGCAGGCAAAGCAAATTCAAAACCAAGTAAAAGCAAACACAAAAGCAAAGCAAAAGCAACAGCAAAAGCAAACGCAAAAGTAAAGGCAAAGGCACAAGCAAAGGCAAGAGCAAAAACAAATGCAATGCAAAGCAAAAGCCAAACCGATGCGAAAGTGTAGATGTAGATGTAGATGTAGGTGTGGGTGTAGGTGTGGATGTAGGTGTAGGTGTAGATGTAGATGTAGATGTAGATGCAGGTGTATATGTAGGTGTAGATGTAGATGGAGGTGTGAGTTTATCTTTTGATGTAGATGCAGGTGTAGATGTAGATGTAGCTGTGGGTGTAGATGTAGATGCAGGTCTAGATGTAGATGTAGGTGGCGATGTAGATGCAGGGGAAGATATACATGTAGATGTAAACAACTCCCAAGTGCCCCGCCCTCATCTCCGTGCCTGCTTGCTTTTGCTGCTGTCTCGGCGACTTGCTGCCTGCTTCTGCTGCTGCTTTACTTACGGCGTGGCGTCGGCGGTTCTGGCGCCGCTACTACTACTACTACTACTACTACTACTACTAC